GGTTTTAGCAGAACATTGGATAATAAATACAGAAACAGTATTATACAGATATAAAGGTTGCGAGTTAGATCAAAGATTAGAAAATGGAAATTATATAAAGTAGAAAAACAAAAATGAAATTCAAGACTTGATTTCAAAGTTTGTTAAAAATCAAAAAAAGCAAACTCTAGTAATTAATTTTAATATGATAACACAGCGATGAGGAAAAGAAGAAATAGAACAAAGCAACAGTAAAAAAAAAGTAGAGTATGTACAATATATAGATTTAGAAACAGAAATTATCTAGAAACAGCCAATAAGTCTGATAATGAAGAAGGACCTTATTTATCGAAAAGACTTAAACCAAACAAGACTAGAAGAAGACTTAATCTTCTATACAAATAGATCTTTAAAAAAAGGAACAAAAAATTTAAATCAAGAAACAGATTGTATAAGTGCAGAATGAGTTCAAGTAGATGGAAAAGAAGAAGAAGTATTCGATGAAGGATATTTTGGAATGTGAAACTGGCCATCTTCAACAAAGCCAGAATTATTAGCAATATGGTTTGTGCTACTTATGATACTAAAAAAGAAAACAGTCAGAATTTATACAGATAGTGCAATAGCAATTACAAACATAGAAGGAAAAAACATGAAAAACTTAGCTAAACAATGACTCAAATGGAAAAACTACAATCTATTAGAGAACATTAATGATTGTATAGAATTAAAGGAGCTCAAATTAGAATTAATTAAAGTTAAAGAACATAGCGAGAATAAATGAAATATTAAAGCAGACAAACTAGTGAAAGAAGGATTAAAATTAGACAACATAGATAGAATAGTAAAGAAAACAGCACAAAAAGCTAGTGTTAATCTTTGTTGGAAAGATGAAATAGTAAAGGATCCTACAAGACAATTTATAAAAGAAATTTTAGACTTAAAGAAAAGTATAGAGTGAAGCTTTACAACAGCAATTAAAAAGACAAAACCAGATCAGAGTAATAGAACATACAACTGGTCATATTTTTGAAAGAAGATAAAAGATCAGAATGAAAGCAAATGCTCAAGTATGGAAAAAAACAAACAAATAAAAATCTTGATTAAATATATAAATGAAAAATTACCAGTAGCCAAAATACTAGTACAATATCATTCAGATCTATATGAAAATGCATATTGCATTATTTGTAAAAAAAATATAGATGAAGATCAAGATCATTTAGCAATATGTAAATATTATGAGAATATATAGAAAAAATAGAGAACACATCAACTAATTTAGCATGGACGAAGCTCTTAGATGAAGTCAAATTAAAGCAAATAAAGATCAGGTTAAGGAAGTATTTTAAAATACATAAACAGAAAAAAACGTAAAAGTGAGGTACAGAATAATCAAAGGCCTAATATTAGAAAGAACAATAAAATTACTGTGAAATTTATTAAATTCAAATAAGAAAATAAAAAAGTTTGTTTCAACAGCAATTAATATAGCATAGAACTGTTTCTATGAAGATATATGAAAAAAACAATGTGAAGTCTTCATTTTATAGAAAAAAGAAATAGGAATCGATAAGAAGGCGAAAAGAGAAAAAAAAATATGAAGAAAAATACAACAAAGAAAGTTAACAACTTTAGTACTAAAGAAAAAACTATTAGAATAGAAAAGAGCCAAATCATGAAGGCAAAGAAAAGTAAAAAAAAGGAGGAAAAAATAGAAATACACAAGGCATGGTCTGGCTTAATCACAAATTTTATTTATAATAAATCAAGGCCATTTATATATGACCTTATCGGCTAGTTTAGTACAGCTTCTGGATTTGAGTACATCCCTAACCAGTGCAGCAGACCACCTTTAGGCACTCAAAGAAGCAGCTGAAGGATGTTAGACCAGAAATTTAAGTTAAAATATATGTAACATATGTACAAGAATCTTAATAAAGGTTTATGGCAAGGCTGCCAAAGTTTTTTTTAAAAAAAAAAAAGTATATTAAAATTTTTATCTAAGTTATTATCAGAATTTTACTTAAAAAATTATATAACAAGAATGTTAAAAAATTATTTTTAATCTTTCAAATCAAAAAGCAGCTAGCTTTTCTGAAATTTGCTATGAATTTATTTAAATATGCAAGCTTCAAAATACAAAATTTCTTTAGACTTTTCTTAAATAAATATTTTTAACTTCAAAAAATTTATATTAAATAGAAATTTTCTAATATCTTTCTTATTTTTAAAAAATCAAATTGGAACTATACACTTATTTAAGTATATTTTATATCCATTATTGAACTCTTTAAAAAAACTTTTATAAAAATTTTTATATTCAAATTAAACAAAATTATTTTGTCTAATAATCTTCTTTCTAATTTTAATTTTACTAGTTTTAAAAGCTTCTTTATTTATATTTTAATTCTAATATAATCAAAAATTACAAAACTAATAATAAAAAAACTTAAATATTATTTCAAGATATGTCTAAAGCCTTTGATAAAATTAATATTACAAGACTTCAAAATGTTTGTAAACAAATTGCTATTCTAATTCTTAGCATAAAGCTTATTATAGAATTATATAGTTTTTAATTTATTAAGATTATTACTAGTTATAATTTTATATAACTAGTTTAAATAAAATCTAAAATAGAACAAAAAAAAACCTACTTTTATTTTAGAAAATCTATTATGATCTTATTCTTTTTTTTATTAACCAAAAATATAAAAAAGAATTTCTCAATATATTTGCACAATTACCTTTGATATTATTTTTAATACTTCTATTTAATCAATTACTATTCTTTTATTAGTTTATATAAATAATATAACTTAGTATTGTAAAGACTCAACTACAATATAAAATATATTTAATAATATATTTATTCTTTACAAACTTAACAATATTAAAATAAACTTTTTCAAATCTGATCTTCTTTATATCAAACCCAAATTATTTTATTTATTTTTAATTATATTTATTGTTAATAATTAAACTATTTTTTTTAAAAAAACTTAATATATTATTTGATACTTTGGTATATTCTATAATGGAAATAGCTCCTTAAAACCAACTCTTAATATTATCTTTAACAAAATTAAAAACTTTTTCAACTTTATTAAATATAAAAAATTATACTATTACAAATTTTAGCTCTTTTTAATCTTATTCTTTAATCTTTTCTCAAATATTTATTACAAGTAATTCTGATTTACAAAAATACTTAAACAAACTCTTTTATATTTTTACTATTTAATTAAAAAAAATATTAACATTAGCAAGAAATACTAACAATATTACTTTTACTAATCTATTATTCTTTAACCTATCAGTAATTAGGTAATACTAGGCTTAGTTGTTAAGTATATTTATGTAATTGTAATAGTAATTTCAAAAATCTTAATAAAGCACTAGCATTAGTTTATAATTTTCAAAGACCTGACATAGGCATACAATTGTGACTGTTTGATATTTGTGAATTGCAAGTTTTATACATTTTCTTTTTTCTTGTTTATTCTTTTTCTTTTTTTATTTCTTGATTTGTATCTTTTATCATTTACCTTTATACCTCTATTTTGTTTTTTTTTACATAAAAATTTGTTTTTTGTTTTTTGCTTCTTTATGAAAAGATGTCATCAGATTGGTGATGTTCTATTGTAGGGTGACAGTCAGATAAGTAATCTATCTCTAATTAGGATAGTGCAATAGGTTATACTTAGATACTATTTGAGTGGCTAAATAATACTAGATTTATATATCAGAAAAATTCTATGTAATCTGTATAGTTTTAAGAATCCTAATAAAGTACTAACATGACTGCTAAAGTTAAAAAAAAAAAATTAAATAAAATAAAATAAAATAAAAATAAAACACTAGCATGACTGCTTATAATAATAAAAAAATAATAATTTAAATAATATATATTATAAAAATAATTAAAACAAAGTTTATTTTTACAGTCTGATTCATAAAAGATTGTTTCTGTTTAGTAAAACAATTTACAGATTTTCATAATTCATTACTTAAATATAAATTTTTCTTTAATTTATTCTTACTAACTTATATAATTTATTATAAAATTTAAAAAAAAATTTAATCTAATTCAGCTTACTCTTATAAAATTTCATTTCAGATTCAGTTTTGTTTACCAAACAGGTTAAACCATTTATAGAATCCAATGCAGTTTCTAATTCTTAGTCTTAAAAAAAATATATTATATAACTATTTTACAAACTAATCTTGAACAACCTAATTCTAATAACTTTAACCTATTACAAACAATTAAAAATCTATTATTTTTAAAAAAAGTATTAAGTTTTGCTAATTCTAATAAATACCAATTTATGACTTTCTTTTACTATATAAATTTATCAAATGTTAAATTTATTATATCATTGTTTGCTAACAGCAAATCAAAACCAAATTTTTCTGTTAAATAAAGAGTTAGCAATTGAAAAAAAAATCAAAAAAAAATCAAAAAAGAAAATTAGATGAACTAAATAATACAAACAAATAACATTGAAGAAATAAAGACAGAAATTGGTTTAATAATTTGTTCACTAAATGAAGAAAATAATACCGTATTCCTCCGAAATAAGCTCACGTAATGCGGCCACAATTATTGCAAAACAGGCCAAAGTTGTCATAGTGTAGGTCGGGATGGTAAAAAAAACAGGTTTAACCATTTTTTCACCGTTTTAAACAGATGATTAAAGTCCGAATTGTCAAATCTGGACTTTAATATATTTAGGACCAAAATCATCACCTGTTTTTAATTACGTAATAAAAAACTTTTGCCATCCTTAAGTGTAGGAGGGGTGCTTATTTACGGTATGTAAAAGTTAATTTTACATGTGAAAGTTAATTTTCCGAAATTAATAAAAATCCCGATTTTATGAGTGCCCCACAAATTAGTTGTCACATGTCTTAATTTTATTGGTTAACGTATGTACGTACGATATAATCATCTAGTTTAATTGCTTCGAAAATTTTCAATTAATCGATTTTCGATCCGTACCACCATTCAAAACATGGTATTCATTTTTTCATTTTATCATTCATAAAATCATTTGTTTTTGCACTTCATTTATATGTTTATTTTTTGCAAGTCAAACACCGAACGCTCAAGTTTGCCGTCTAAGAAAGAAAAATTAAAAGAAAGGCACGACAAATGGATGCAGAGTAATCTAATTTTCATATTTGAATACTAATCATAGTTAACATTCATATTTAAATTTGAATATTCAAATTAAAAATGTTAAACAGCAGATAAATGAATATTCATTAATTCAAAATCTGGTTTATTTTATTCTATTTTATTTATATTCAAAATTTATATTTTATATTTTTTGCGGAAGAGTTCGAACCTACTAGATCCAGAGTTGTTAAAGACAAAATCAACAAGAGAAAAAGAAAAAAAAAGAACATCTCGCTAATTGAAGAAACCCTAAATATATCTTCATTGGTAGAGAGTCTCCCAACAATTGATAAAGATCCAAATTTTCAACCACAACCACAAACAAAAAAATTACATCAGAAGCCACCTACAATTGGATTAAATATTGCAAAGCCACAAGTAGCAAGGAAAAAAATTATGTAAATATTTTATTTCCATATATATACACTGTGAATTATTAACTATATATATAAATTTCAAAATCTTTATTATTAGAAAAGAGGAAATCCAAAGGTTTCATAAAGTAATACAGCATTCTGCTTTTAAAGCTGATCCGTTGTCAGCCGTAAGACAACATGTTGAAAATACTGTAGAAAAAAGAAAGAGCATTCCAAATGATAATTCAATGAATATAGATAGATGAATGCTATTAATAATCTATTTTTCTGTTAACTTTGCCCTTTTATGTCGTATCTGTGCAATTTTTACTTTTCGAAGCATATTTACTACTTCATTTAATATCAATACCTAATAAAGAATGTTATAAACAGTTATTTACATATCTATTAAATAATACGGATTTGTTTCGTATACTTACCACGCCTATCATTGTGTTGATTAATACAGGAAAGGAAAATACCATGGAAATAAAAAATCCGTCTTCATCAAAATAATCTTCATTTGAAAATGTTTCCCAGTGGTTATGTGCAATGGAATTTATTTGTCGTGAGAAACTAGCCAGGATCACTTATATGTGTTCGTGTGGTTTCATAAAGTTTAAAAAGAGATAGTAAGGAATTATTCCCATATTGCATGTCGTTTAAAAAGACTCACTTAAACTAAATGTCACAATAGCAAGAGAATTCGAATTATTTCGAAGTGTAATCAATAGGAAAAAAGTTAAAATATGAAAAGAGAGCACTGTCAATAACCAGGGTTGTGACCATTCGACCTTAAATATACACAAGTCAACAATTAACGTGAATTGGACAAACGAATATTAGTATAAAAAAAAAGCAAATACCGCAGTGACAAAAGCCTGGACACTCTCTACAAATCCCTCCCAACTCAACACATCAGAATTAGTTTTTGCAAAGCGGTAAACAGGTATTTGTTTAGTAAATTCCTCAAAAGATTCTGCGCTATGCCGTGAATACAGAAAACTTTAGCCCAACGGATCCTTTATTTAAGAATTAGAATGTAATTACAGTTACCTAGTGTCATTCTTGTTAAGCTCTTCGCAAAATCACAGAATCTAAAATCAATATCACACTTATATATTGTGTTACTGTAGCCATACGCGGCATTTAGTCACTTGAAGAATTACTTGCCTTGATATTTGTGTAACTTTATACAAATCAAAAATAAAGCAATATGATTGGATTATAGGATATTTAGAATATAAACCAACAGTCTAAAAAATTTCGCACATCATGTGATCTTATTTAAAGCAATAAAATTTTTTTTTAAAAAAAGGTATGCGATTACTTTAGGGTTAGGGTCTTGCTAGTAAGTTAGTTAGATGGTTGTAATTATACCAAATTTTGCAAGAAAAACTTTTTATTACGTAGTACCCAGAAGGCAGTCTTTCACAGGCAAAATTTTGAGTTTTTTTTTATGTTACAGTGGTGATGTGCATATATATGCATTTGTGTCGTGAATCATATGTGCCGCAGTATATAACGTAAAGAATATCTTTACAAAGCTTTTAAAACGAGCAAAACTAACTTTAAATAATTTTTAGCTTACATTATATGATAAAATGTTTGCTAAATAAATGTGATAATAATACTTTCAGTTAAATTTTTTGCCAAAAAAAAACATTAATATTGATGCTCAAATGAAACTATTTGAAATTAGTTTCACTTTTAGCATTGGAAATTCAGAACTATCTATATTAGTTTTGCTGTTAGTATTGAAGAAATCAACAATGTAATTTTAAAATTTTATTTATTATTAGTTAAAATTAAATTAAGCTTAAGTCAAAATATATGAACTTTTTTATTTTCAATTTTTCAAAAATGATTACACTTAATGATTATGTTAATGAAAATAAAACGTACAAAAAAAACTTTTATATTAATAATAAAGTTTATTTTGTACTTTTTGTAAATGTATTTTAAATTATAAATTAAATTTTTACTTAATCAAAATTTAAAAACTGATAAGCATAAAATAAATAAGTATAAAGTTAAAGAAAATTTACAAGAAACTAATAAATCAGTTTCTAACATTAACTTTTTCAAGAAGAACATGAATCAATTAATATAGATTTAATTTATATTTTAACTCAAGCTAATATTTCATTTAAGAAAGTTAATAAGCTTAAATTATTTTTTTTGAAGTACTGTAAAAATAGTATATAAATTATATAAAAATAAATAAATTAGATAATTTTAAATTCAAATTAATTAAATATTAATTAATTATTATATTTGTATAAATTAAATAGTTTTATTAATAAATTTAGTCAGTTGCATACCAAATACTTATATATTGTATTTAATTTGAAAATTAAAAATTTAAATTAACTTTTAGTAGAAAATCAAAATTTTATTATTATTAATAAATTATCTAATGCTTGTAAAAGAACTATTATAAATATATTATTTAGTTTTTATAATATAATCAAAAAAAATTTTTTTTAATGTTGTTACAGGGTTGCAGCCTTCTTGGTACAATACAACCAAGTAACAAGGTCACCTGGTACAGTGATTGACTATTGCA